CAACACTGCCACAGTGAGAGGACCCTCACCAACACTTCCATAGTGAGAGGCCCCTCACCAGCTCTGCCATAGTGGGAGGACCCTCACCAATGCTGTCATGATGAGAGGACCCTCACCAACCATGTCATGATGAGAGAGAGACCCCTCACCAACACTTCCACAGTGAGAGGCCCCTCATCACTGTTGTCATAGTGACAGAGCCATCACTAGACCTGCCGTGTTAAGACTAGAATTGTTCTAGTCTTCCTGGTATTGAAAGCACTCTGTGTTTTCAAACAAGGTTTTCTTCATGGGAGCCGGTGGAAATCTGTTTTCAAAGGGAGGCCATCTCTGCAGAGTGGGCTCTGGTTCCCTCCTGAGATGCCAGTCCCACCTCCTACCATCTCTTTGACAGGGACATGTGTGGGTTCAGACGTGATCCAGAAGAGGCAGGGGTCTCTGGCGTTCCTGGGACATGATGCCTTTAGGGATTTATGTCATGATTACTGACTCACTGTTGCCCAGGCACTGATTTTCATAGTCTTCTCCACTCTCTCTCGACCTTTGTTCCCAACATCCACTCTTCAGTTATAGAAATGGAAGGTGACAGTCAATAGCACACAGAATAATGTCGAAATAGAGGAGAGGAGAGGGCACACAGCAGAAGTGTGGGGCTGAATAGTGAATATGGTATGAAGGAACCCCATTGTCCCATGCTTATTGTCCTCACAGAGTGGGTGACAACCATGCAGGCCATTAAATATAGAATTTGCGTAAGGGCCCCTCTGCCTACTCATAACCTGTGTCTGTTAGCATGATTACCAGGTAGCATGATGTGGTCTTGTTCTTGAGCGAACATATAGCAAACACAGTCAATTGCACACCAGAAGGTTGGATGTCCAACTTCACCACGATGTACCTCAGAATCAAGGCTTGGCAGCCTGTTTCTGAAAGCTCAGCTACTGAAACACATATGTAATTGTTTTTGTTTTGTTTTGGGGTGAATTATATTTTTGTTATCAAGAATATGACATACCTTGACTTCCAGAAATATCATAAAAACATTTTTTTGAGGACAAAGACTACATCTTGTTGTTGCTTTTGTTACTGTTAAATGACATCAAGTCAGCTCCGAATCACACAAACCCTACAGGCAGCAGAACGAAGCTCTGTTCAGTTCAGCACCACCCTCACAATTGCCATTAGGCCTGAGCCCATTGCTCCTGCCATGTGTCAACCCATATCATTGGGGTGTTCTTTTTTCAGCTGACCAAGCTTGATGTCCTTCCCCAGGGACTGATAATAAGTCTGAAGTATCAGAGATGGAATCTCACCATTCTGGCTTCCAAGGAGCATTCTGGTTGTACTTTTTCCAACGCAGACTTGTTTATTCTTCTGGTAGTCTGTGGTACTTACAATAGTCTTCTCCAACACCATAATTTAAATGAATCAATTCATATGTTATCTTCTTTTTCCATTGTCCAACATGAAAATACCATGGTTTTGGTCAAGTGCAACTTAGTCCTCAGACTGATGTCTTTGCTCTTGAACACTATAAAGAGATTAATAAGGAGCTCTGGTAGTGTAGTGGTTACGAATCGGGCTGCGAACCTTAAGGTCAGCGGTTCGAAACTACCAGCCGCTCTGCGGGAGAAAGATGAAGCTTTCTACTCCTGTAAAGATTTATACCCTCGGAAACCCTGTACAGGGTCGCTATGGGTCGGAACCGACTCGATGGCATTTAACAACAACAACAACAACCTCATGTAATGTGTCATTTGACTACTGCTTCCGTGAGTGTTGATTGTTGAGCAAGTAAAATGTAGTCTTTGAAAACTTCAATCTTTTCTCAATTGATCATCATTCTATTTATTGGTCCACTTGTGAGAATTTTTGTTTTCTTTACATTGAGGTGCAATCTGTTCTGAAATCTGTAATCTTTGATCTTCATCAGTGTTTCAAGTCTGCTTCACTTTCAGCAATTAAGATTGTATCATCTACATAACGCAGGTTGTTAATGAGACTTCCTCCATTCCTGATGCCTCATTCTTCTTCATATAACCCAGCTTCTCAGATTAATTGATCAACATACAGACTGAATGAGTATTTTGAGTGACTACAACACTGGTGCATACATTTCCTGCGTTTAAACCATTCAGCATCCCCTTGTTTTCTGTGAGCAACTGTCTGTCTACAAGTTCCTCAAGGACACAGTGAAATGTTCTGGTATATTCATTCTTCTCAATATTCTCCATAGCTGGTTATGATCCATACAGTCAAACACCTTTGCTTAGTTAATAAAGCACAAGTAAACATCTTCTGGTTTTCTCTGTTTTCATCCAAGATTCATCTGACATCAGCAATGATTTTGCCCCTTCCACGTCCTCTTCTGAACCTATCTTGAATTTATGACAGTTCTCTGTCTGCATTCTTGCAGCCATTTTTAAAATTATCTTAAGCAAAATTTTACTTGCATGTAATGTTGTCGTTGTTAAGTGCTGTCTAGTCAGTTCCGACCCATGGCGACTCTGTATAGGATTTTTGAAGAGCAGCTGGTGAGCTTGAACCATCGACCTTGCAGTTCAAACACGGCTTTTTAATCTGGTGCATTAACCCACAGCACCACACCAGAACTCCACTCGCATGTGATATATTAATGATATAGTTAGATGATTTCATGTTCCATTGGATTACCTCTCTTTGGAATGGGCACAAATATGGATCTCTTTCAATCAATTGCCCTGGTAGCTATCTTCCAAATTTCACTTCATAGATGAGTGAGTGCCTCCAGTACTGCATCAATTTATTGAATGATTTCAAGTTGCATCTTAACATTTCCTGCAACCTTGGTTTTCACCAATGCCTTCAATGCAACTTGGACTTCTTTCAGAACTATCCACTCTTGGTTACATGATACCTCTGAAAGTGGTTTGGCATTGACCATTTCTTTTTGATACAGTGAATCTGAGTATACCTTCCATCTTCTTTTGATGCTTTCTGCATCACTCAATTTTTTGGCTATAGAATCCTCCAATATTTCAAACTGAGGCTAGTTTTTTATTTTTCTTTCTTTTTCTTTTTCTTTTTTTTTTCCGTTCAGTTCTTCTGGCTTGAGACATTTTGAGAGTGTTCTTCCTTTTTTGTTTTCTAACTCCAGTTGTGGTACATTTCATTAGAATGCTTTGCTCTCTCCAGCTTGCCCTTTGGAATGCTCTGTTCAGCATTTCTTCAATTCATTTTAGCATCTCTATGTAGGAGGGCAAATTTTAGAGTCTCTTCTGACATCCATGTTTGTCTTTTTCTTTCCTGTCTGACTTTGTGCTTTCTTCCTGTGTGATATGGCTGATGTTGTCCCATAATGTTTCTGGTCTTTGATCATTAGTCTAATGCATCAAATCTGCTCTTAAGATGGTCTCAACATTCAGGTGGGATGTTCAGGTCATATTTTGTCTCTCATTTACTTGTTTTTATTTTTTTATCTTCAACCTGAGCTTACATATGAGAAGCTGATGGTCTGTTCCACAGTCTGACCCTGGCCTTGTTTAGACTGCTGATACTGAGCTTTTCCACTGTCTCTTTTCACCAATGTAGTCAACTTGATTCCTGTGCATTCCATAAGGTGAGGTCCATGTTTTATGTTGTTTAAAAAAAAAAAGTATTTGCAATGATTCATCTTTCAAAATTCTATCACATGATCTCCAGTATAATTTCTATCTCAAAGCCATATTTTCCAACCACTGATCCTTCCTCTTTGTTTCCATTCTTCACATTCTAATCACCAGTAATTATCAATACATCTTGATTGCATGTTTGATCAATTTCTGACTGAATAAATTGGTAAATTCTTCTATTTAATCATCATTGGCTGTAGTGGTTGGTGAGTATATTTGAATAGTAGTGGTATTAACCGGTGTTCATTGTATTGTTGTGGTTGTTGTTGTGAAGTGTTATCGAGTCGATTCTGACCCATTGTGACCCTGTATCGGGTGTCCAAGGAGCAGCTGGTGAGCTTGAACCAACAGCCTTGCAGTTCAAATGACTTTGCAGTCTGATGCATTAGCCCACATGGATATTATCCTATCACAGACAGCACTGTGCATCAAGATAGATCCAGAAAGGTCAATATCTACAGTGATGTCCTGTTGGTGGTCTACAACTGTGATGCAATGGGATGGGAAGAGATCTCCACTTCTCTGCTCTCCCTCCACAGACTCAGAGCTCCAAAGGAGAAAAACATCAGACCAACCCCAACTAAAAGGGGTGATCTATACAATGCCTTACCAACCCTCCTCAAAACTTACAAGGACATCAAAAACAAGGGCCATGTGATAAACTGCCTACGCCAAGGGGAACCTAAGAAGACATGGGAATTAAATGTTTGATGGTGTCCTGGGTGGGATCCTAAGACAGATAAGGGTCATCAGATAAAAATAAGGAAATCTAAAAAAAGTATGGGCTTCAGTTACAACAAGTAGACTCTACTTGTCCAGTGTGAACAATATGGGAAAGCAGCTATGTGGTATGTAGTGATATTCTCTATTCTCTTTATAGTGTTTTTTAAATCTAAAACAGATGTAAAATAAAATTGTTTGTTTTGATAAACATACTTAAACTGTGTTTAAATGTTGATTAAGAAGCAACTAACATTATGTCAAATCCACCTATTTTTAAGATATTGCCTTCTGTAATGGCCTACTGGGGGTTCCAGTAGTTTTTGTAAATAAAATTTCTCTTTCAAGATGTGAATTCCAGGACACCCCACCTCTATAGATACAGTTCAGACTTCAGGTCAGGGACATGTGGCCCTGGAAGATACTCAAGGAAGAAATAGTGTCATGCAACAAGAAATTAAATTTCCCAAAGTTCTAAATGTTGATTCTCAGGGAGTCTGAAGAGTCTAGCGCTTCTGTGTAGCTCTGCTTGGGGAGTCCATTGTCCTGTTTTCACCATTGATCATTTCATCGCAGCTCCAGGCTCAGCATGAGATGCTAAAAGCAACTCTATTGAATATCTTTCTTCAGGTGTCAGCGTTTTCTACCTGGGAGAAAGAATTACACAAAATTGTGTTTGACCCACGCTATCTCCTGCTAAACTCAGAGGAACGGAAACAGGTAACACTACAGCAGAGCTGATGCTGGACTGTAGTCCAGTGTTGAAATGGCGCTTCACCCTGAGACCATGAGCGCTGATGAGCGTATGCTGCCATTTTGTATTTCCTTAGGGGCGGGGCTACTGGTTTAGGACTGGCCTGAGACTAGGACAGTCACAAGTACTCTCTCAATCTCACTCTGGACTCATCGTCATCCTGTAGGATGGAGTAGAACTGCCCCACAAGGTTTCTGAGACTAAATCTTTGTGGAAGAAATTGCCTCCTCTTTTTCCCTTAGAGTGACTTTTGGGCTCAAACCT